GGGGGGGGGGGGCATATTTGTTTAAAAAGACAAAACTCCTTCCGTATTCCCTTCCTATGAAAGGCAGAGGCAGTTCGGGCATCACAAAAATATCAAAGATCTGCACTGGCCTGTTTCGGGGGTCTCGGCTGGTCTTCCCATCCTTTTCTGCAATTTCTTGTTTTCCTGTCTCATTAGTTCCCTTGTTCTTCACTTTTTTTTCTATTTGTTTAATAATTTACGCTATATATATAACGTAAATTATTAAAAAAAATATTGAATAACTTGATATTGAAATATATATCTATATATAGGTTCCACGCGGGATACTGAATTAAAACGCATATAATCTAATGAGCCGAAACGTTTTAATCTGAGCTAAATTATTATTTTTTCACATACAGTATAGTTTTCAGTGTTTTCAACATACCTTACTGTTAGCTGATATTTTTAAGGAGCATTTAAAATTCTGCTTAAATTTAACAAATAACTTGGTATTAAAATATTGAATAAGAATATGATACAGTCATTGCTGAATCTTAAATTCAATAAATAACTTGGTATTAAAATATTGAATAAGGATATGATACAGACATCGAATGCAACTGAACTGTTTAATTATCCAAAGTTGCAGTTATTATTTAATACTATCCCACAAAATTACAAGTATATTAATAGTAGCAGAGGGTCCGAAAATCCATTTATATAACTGCCAAATTAATCTGAGAATTAATTTGGAGGTTATAATATAACTGGATTGTCTTAGAAGTTAAGAGCTAACCGAAAAAATTGACCAAAATAAAACAGACTATAAAAAGATCAATATAATCAATATATGAAAAGGCGTTTAGTGATTAAAAATTAATAAATGCTGTAATATAAGTACTAAAAAGGAATGTTCCGGTCCATTATTTCGTATAAATTTCAAATCGAGTACCACAACTGGACCTCGTCAGTACTGTTAAATTAGTTTTCTTTACCGTGCTTTTTTACAGCGATAAATAAGAAGAATAAAATTGAATTCCCAGCATAATGGCATCTGCTGCTGCATCCGGAAATGAGCGGTATCAGGAGACAAGATTGATACTGTTGACGAGATGCTAGGATTTTCATTGCGCTGTAGTTTTGCAGTGCAGATTGTTTTACTTTGCATCACATGGTACATGATTAGCTCCGCATCTAGTATTGTCAATAAAATTACCTTACAGGTGAGCGTTCATTTTTATGCGTTTTTTCCAGCTATGCAATGCAGAAAACGCATATTGACGAGGGGTTGTCTGTGTGTCCGTGTGTCTGTGCGTCTCTGTGTGCGTCTGAACCGATTTTTCATTTCAAGACCTATAAAAGCTACAGGGCTGCAATTTCGTGAACTTAATCTATATACAGTACGGGCACCATTCCCCAAGGTGGGCGCCCTTACCCGCGTGATACCCACGTACGAGTCCGCCAAAGTTTTTTACGGGTAAGCTGCTATCTCGGGAACCAGAAATGCTGGAAGACTGAAATTTTAAGTCTTCGTCCAAGTAGGCATTACTGTGCTCAAACCCAGCCTCCGGGTGTGCGTGGTACCCACATATGGGCTCGCCAAAATTTTCTTCTGGTAATTTGCTATGTCGAGAACTTGAAAAACTAGAACACTGTAATTTTAAGAAGATATTCCCTGCCCACCTAGGTCTCATTGAGCCCATACCCAGCCCTCCTTCTTCCTCCCCCTCCCCTCCAGTATGCGTGGTACCCACGTATGGGCCCGCTGGAATTTTTTTCGGGTAAATTGTTAACTCGATAACCTGAGAAGCTTGAAGACTGGAACTTTGAAAGGATGTTTCTTGACAGGCCTGGTGGCCAGTCTGAAATTCTTTTAGCTAAAAGTGTCTGCCGAAAAAACAGTGCCGTTAGCGACAAAAATCTGCTGGGAAATATGCAAAAAATGCACCTTCGCACGGGCAGCCCGTGCGTTGGCCAGTTATTCTGTTTTTTTTTTTGAGGTTAATTCTCTCAGTTTTTGTGTTTTAAAGAAAATTTTACTTTTTCTTGCCCCATTGTCCAGATTATACAATTACGAGAAACGCAACTGATTCGTCATTGTGTAGTAGTATTGGACAGACATACTAAGAGGAGTACAGAATGTCAGGATTATTAGCAGTAAGCTTGCCGTGGATTGAAGTAGCTTTGGTATCCGCAGCTGGTGAAGAGTTGTAAGCTGCTTTGGTACCATTCGAGATGAACTGATAGAGCTAATCGGAGGGTCAAAGGACTGGCTAGATTCAATTTTTACTTGCAGCACTTCATCAAGTTGTAGAAGTGACGATGTTCAGGACGAGATGATAATATACAGTACCGACTGAGGGCACCTTGAAACGATCAAAAACTCGTCAAATTTATTTCCTGGGAAAACAGTTAGATTGTTAATCCGTACATGAGATCAGAACTCATCAAATTTATTTCCTGGTAAAACAGCTGGATTGTTAATCCGTTCAGAAGATCGCACATCTGGATCGCCAGCAATCTGACCACCAAACGATGCATCGTTGGTCGAAGCGTTTAGAAAAGTTATCAGCTATATAGTTGAAGAAGGAGACTATTTGCTATATAGTTGAAGAATCAGACAGACCCATACACACCCACAAATCGTATGAACTTATAATCATGCATACCCTATATGCTTTATTTATCCACTTCAGAAATATCCATATCCGATGACGGTCGCCCTAGCATCACTCTGTAGCATCGATCTTTATTCAACACCTGTACTTCATTTTTGGCATATTGGGCATTCTGGCATATCAAATTACTACATGCTGCGTTATATGGTACCAATATCGGCTGGTAAAGTTGTTGCCGTTGTTAGCGCATATATTAGCGTCTGGAAGGTACCCGTGTCATATGCGCAAACAGGTTCGTTCTCACATTTTGGTTACTTATTTCCGGTAAATTTTCCTAAGACAAGATAATATATGTCCCGTGCTTCTGTTGAACACAAACTTGTGAAAAAGTGAATTATCTAGGGCTCGAAGAACAAGAACGTATTCCAGTAGCTGCATCGAAATAGTGTTCGAGTCTAAAGACTTGTGCATTTCACTGACATTTGGACTCTGTACATTCTAGGCAATCCTGACAGTTTCATTCATTAAAAAAAAAAAAACTTTCTTTTCCAGTCAAAGCTACGATGCCTTTGTTCGCTGTTATATCGGCACGAATTGTGTTGAACGAACGACAGTCGAAGCGTGTTTATCTCTCACTAATACCAATTATTACGGGCGTCACGATTGCAACGTTCACGGAAATATCATTCAATGTGAATGGTTTGCTCAGTGCATTGCTTTCAACTGGTATTTATGCCGTACTGAATGTTTTCGTTAAAAAGGTTCTTTTTTTTTTAAATTTTTCACACGTCGATTTGAAAAACAGCTGTTGCAGAAAACCCGCGAAAAACCGGCAAAAGAAGGAGCCTCCACAAGAGAAAAAATACTTACTACCTGTGGAAGCAACCAAGAAGGGGACGTGTGTATTCCGTCTTGAAAGGCAGTTAAGCAGTAGATGTGCTGTCAGGCTGATCTTGAAGCACTAGGGCTGGTGGTGTAGTGGATAAGCGGTAGCACCTCGCGAACGGTATGAAGGGGAGTTCGGTTCCCTCCCGGTTCATGACCGTTTTTGGAAATGACTCTTTTCACAGTAACAGTTCTGCGAAGGCCAAGAATCACCGGTTGCAGTGTGGGTTTAGTATTTTGTATACGTTGTTGGTTGGGGATACTTGGATTCTCCAGTTATGTGGTTGACAACTTTTCCAGTTACTTTGACGGTGTTTCGTCACCCCGATGGTCAGTTTGTACGTTCGTTCCGTTTGCTGTAGAGATTGCCAGCTCAGCAGTCCTGTCGGCAGAAATTCTTGACAGGGCTTTGGGAATTTCAGGATTTTTTTTGGTGCGTATTGAGCATGATTTATCTTGAATGTTGTCACGCCTAGTCCTCGATGAAAAGGTACGTAACTGATGGCAGAGTTTGGCGTCAGTTCGTAGATTTCAGCCCAAATATCCTTGAAATTTTTAAATTAAATACCAAATACTTTTGAATTTTATAAAATTGGTTTCCTAGATTTTCAAGTCCCTGGATAATAGTATAAAGAGGACGAAATTCTGTCCGGCCAATTTTAAAGCATTACTCAAAAAACATTGTTCTCCATGTTTACCTTTCAATGCAATTTACTTCCCTACTTGCTGGTTTCTTGCTCTTTCAGTATGTTTTTTTTTAGTCGGGGAAAGTACCTCCTGGTTTAGGTATGGCACCTTTCGTAATAAGGTGGCACTCAGCACAATCAAGGATTTCTTAAAGCAACGAAAGCCTTGTCAGCGCTTTTGCTGGGACAGACGTTGAGCTGCTCCCTTCAGGAATTAGAGCAAACATCAGGATTGCTAGCAAGCTACTCTCAGGCGATGCAGCACTGGTCAAAGCAACTGGAGAAGTTATAATCTGCGTAGTCGAATAAGCAAATTATGAATTAGAAACTGCTTTATATAATTCATGCTATATTTCACGTTTTCGTTGAGTAATTTTTGTGTGTTCAAAATTTAAACTTCACAAATCACTCCAATCCAACCAGAGTTTAGAAATCAAAAGAAATCCGGTGCTCGCCCTGGAATTTTTTTCGACGTTTCAGGTGTTGCAAAGGTTCGATATTCATCCATTGTACTTATTAGCTCTCAATGCTCGAATTTCCGCTATATTACTCTTCCCATTTTGGTGTTTTCATGACGGCATATCATTATGGCGAGGTGTTGCTCGAAGCGTACGTTTACTTAACTATGGTAGAAAAACCAGCCCATCTACGACTCGTTCATTCGTTTCGATGGTAAATTGGTACTAGGATAAATCAGGAAGGGGGAATCCAGAAGGGTTTTCTGGAGCAATGACCTGGGGGGGAGGGGTGAGATGGAGTGAGGCTCCTGGAGGGAGGGAGAAGGTAACGGAGGGTGCGGGGGAGAGTTTTCAGTTTTAGCTCTAATCCAAACTTTTCTAGCACTGATGTCTGTGCTGCTGGGGGGGCGGGGGAGGAGGGCGGGAGATCGAAAGACCGGTTGCTCCCTCCCCTCCCCCCTCCTTCCTCTTCTCTCCCTGGATCCGGGGAATCAAAACTACCTTCAGCTTGCTTCTAAGTAACTCTTGGAAAACTATCGAAAAGCTTGCCAGTGTATGTTTGCTATTGATCCTTGCTAGAACTTGAGTTACTTCCTGAGTATTTCCGCTTCAGACGGCACACACAGAGGGAGTTTTGGTCTGTTTTCATTTTTTTTTTTTGACGGGTCCATTGATATGTGACATTTACCAAATTGCAGGAAGGCGAGCCGTTACCGTACGAAATTTGGTTTTTATTCTACCTACTGCTCTCAGGATTGCTTGCATTCCTACAAAATTTATGTGCTTTCACATTAATTCATCGTTTATCGGCGCTTTCATACGCAGTAGCAAATGCTACGAAACGAATCACCGTAATATCGGCATCACTGTTAATGCTGCGTAATCCGGTAACAGTGACCAATGTATTCGGCATGTTCCTCTCCATCTTTGGCGTTTACCTTTATAATCGAGTGAGTCATTCCCCGTTATTTACTTTTTATGCGTTTTGTGCTGTGTAACAGCAGTACAAAACGCATATTGTCACGGGGTTGTCTGT